AGATGCTTGCTGTATTTTTTTGCTTGCTTAATTTAACCCGATCTATAAAATAACTGAGCCACTCACATCTCAACACATATGGTATTTCTACCCTGCTAAACGTGAGTACACCCAGTGCGACAGACTACTTGAATACCTCTCCAGAGAAAAAGAAATACGTCGATGTGTTAGTCTGTCACTTTAGTAGGCTATGGTAGATAAATGAGTCAAAGGTATGAACTAAAACTAAACAATTTCGGCGTAAACAATGCAATGTAAACACATAGGCCTGGCTCCCAACCTATTCAAATTCGATCAAGGTCAAACGTTGAAAGCGCAAGTCGTCAGCTTGCACCTGCTATGCATTACTGGGATCTCGGCCAGTGATAAGTCGAAACTGAAAATGACAATCTCGATCGTAGAAAACAATTAAGTGAATCGTATTTTAATTGAGAGTATGCAATGATTTACAACAGTTATTATAATATGTGAGTGGAGGCGAAATTCTCTGTTTTGTGTATCATTCTTATTGACCGTCCGATGCTATCAGGGTGAAAGTTTTACATATTAGGGATTTATAGTCTATTATTGGCTTGAGAGATGATTACATGCAAGATTGTACCATACTTCGGATGAATTATCTCCTGCAGAAACGTTACCTTCTATGGTGACAACGTTTTTACGTGTATCGGCCATTTTCTCTCTCTCTCTCATCTCGTTACGAATGGATTAATTTTAGCGCTATTACGTACAATAACAAAAAGCATGGGAAAGATTTAATGACTAGATAAGCCAATTGCATATCCAATAGCTTCACCTATATGATAATCCAGTCGACGTCTTCAGTCTCCGGAATTGTAGTCGTTAGTCTGGAAGACAACGTGAAGAAAAGATCAATAATTGACATATTACACAGAAATATTCCCAACCCAAATATTTCAGTATATAAAAGATCAAACGTTATGAGGCTCCAGTTACCAATGTTTGGCTATGATGTGATGTAGAATCTGCTTCAGAGATGGCATTACTGAAGGTAACGGCATGGTGAGGATTCGTGTGCTAATAGTATGTGTTGATGATAATTCCATTGGATTCTTGTCTCAAATACACTTACTTGAGTTCAAAGCTAGAAATTAGTTGCGCATCCACTATTTCCACTGTTCCTTGTATCTCAAAATGAATACCACGGACTTATATTGGGGTGCATACAAATTATACTGTAGAACTTGGGGCAGCCGTATTCAACAATTGAAGACAGAAGTAGATAAAGGTGTTATGTAACATTTTTTTAAACATTGCTTTTTTGCATTAAACTAACATTAATGAGTGATTCTTTCATTCTGTGATTACTTTGTTTCAAAAACAAGATAATAACAAACTAAACTAAATATTTAAAATTTCAATAAAGTGAAAATTCCCAATAAAAAAATGTTTAAGGTCAATTTTCTCCATACAATGATTTTGTCACATGACAATAGTATTCAATAAAGATTTTCAAGGGAAATGTAATAAAATATAATAATAATAATATTAAAAGGTCTATAGCTTATTTTTGTCCAAGTTTGACCTATGAAAGAAATTCAAAACTTAGAAATGTAGCTTTATTTGAGGAAAACCGATTTCTGGGAGCGCCCTTGACGGTTACTAGGGGTGCCTGCATCTCCGACTGGGAGTGTGGTAAGGGATTTTTGTAGGAGCTTGTGGCATTATTTTTTGGATTCAATGTGCATACAAGATATAGACATTCTTTTTTGAAGTGTATTGCCAGTTCCTAGATATTACTCACGTTGACTGGACTACTGCAGGGCTACAATGCGCTTCCCCTGTCTATGCCGGGTCAAATGCCGAAAAATACCGAAGCGTAAACTCGGAAAGAGTTAGGAGTCTGGAGAATGGAAAATTTGCATAAATGGGTCATGAGTGCGGTACGCCTTTATGACTGGTAGTTCGTAATCTTCTTGGACAAAGGCATAGCACCTACATAACTTGCTGCCAGACTTGGCACATCGCCTTTCAATGATTTGTTAGCATTACTGTGCAGCGTAACTTGCTTTCAGATTAAATCTGTAGAAAATTCATTTACAAAACTGATTTCCAGCATCGTCCATTATGGGTCAGTATTTCCATAGAGAGCCCCAGTAGAATGTACCTCGTGAAACTTCTGGCGTTTTCGATGCGATAATTGAGGGTGACGTATTTTGTCTATTAAAAACGACACATGCTCGCTTGTCACTTTGAGGGGCAGGATGTTATACTAAGTGACATATAAATCCGAACACCCAGTTTAAATGGTTTTATTTTAATAAAATTTTGTATAAGTACTTAATGAAGCATAATAAGTAAATGATAAAAATTTCAAAATGATTGCACTGCTTTAAAGCCATTTGACCTTTAATAATGTGTGGATACACCCTGATGTGCTACGCATTCTCCAACGCGCCTAGGCATGCTTCTGATCAGGTGGTCAATGTCGTCCTGTGGTATCTCATTCTAGGCAACCACCAACTCCTCTCGAAGTGCTTCTAGAGTCTGAGGGGGACGTTGCAAATTGAGCAATCTCCTACCCATCATATCCCACACGTGCTCAATTGGGGATAAGTGTGGAGATCTTGGTGGCCATGGTAACAATGTGACATCATTATGTTGAAAGAAGTCTATTGTGACTCTTGCAACATGTGGTCGGGTATTATCTTGTTGGAAAGTTGGATCTGCCAGGGTATCAAGATAGGGTAAAAGATGGGGTTCTAGAACTTCGTGGATATAACGCTGCGCGTTCATGTTACCTCTGATTAAGATTAAAGGTGACCTGGAACCATAAGCTATAGCACCCCAAACCATAACTCCAACAGTGTGATGAACATGTCCTTCAACAAAAAACTGTGGATTCCTCCTTCCACCACGTCGCCTTCTAACCCTGGCACGACCATCGTGCATGCCTAAACAAAATCGAGACTCGTCACTAAAGACAATACTGTTCCATTCCTGATCCCAGAGTGACCGTTGTCTGCACCACTCAAGGCAATTACGTCGGTGTTCTCGAGTTAAAGGGAGGACCCAGTGTGGCCGGTATGAAAACAAGCGAAAACTTCTCATTCGTCGGTAAACACTTCGCATGCCAATAGGTCTTCCGTGTTCTGCAAACCATTCATTTGCAATGGACCTGGTAGTGGAGAAACGGTCCCTTAAGGCCAATAATCTTAGGCGGCGATCTTCACGGTCTGTTGTTCTACGGCGGCGTCCAGTGCCCCTTGCTCTTTGCGTACGGCCTTCTCGAAGCCATGCCTGACAACACCTAACCACAGTGTCTGCACTTCTTTGCATTGTAACTGCAATTGCCCGAAAAGAAAGTCCAGCTTCCCGAAGTCCTACTATACGGCCCCTATCAAACTCACTAAGCTGACGAAATCGTACAGGTCTCCGTACTCTAGGCATCGTAACCGATAGTAAAGGATGTCAAGAACTAAAATCCGCCAACGTGTATTCTTTCCTGCGTCTGAAATATTCATTTTTAGAGCGTTAGTGAATTAAAAAAAAGCAGTATAAAAACCGGAATGTCCAACTGATAAGGCTGAAAATTTTTTCACTTGTTATTTACAATAAGATAAATACATTCACCAACTTTTATTAAAATAAAACCATTTAAACTGGGTGTTCGGATTTATATGTCACTTAGTATATTTTGTGGCCGGGAATGCCTACCCGACAGACTGCTGTAGTAACACACTGTACAGGAATGTGAAGAGGAAAAAGGAAACAAAATGTCACCCGAAAGACGGATGAACAATATGTATATACTATAGGACTTAGAAAATGCAACATACTGCCTAGTGAAGGATTGGCTGGCTGTTGGTATTATGAGACAGATGACCGTCTAATAGTTTGTAGGCGTACTTAGGAAACTCTGTTTTTAAAAATAAATAAAAAATTAAGTTTATGATTGAAGACAAGAGGCGAAACGTCATATTGAAAGTTTGAATAATTTATTTATTTATTTGTACGCTACTCAACAGCAACAGCCATGTACAGAGTAGGATACAGACCAGACAAAAAAAAAACAATTATTTTATATTACACGCCAAAATGGGTAGTTCGAACACAAAGGTGCTATTTACAAATATGTACAAATATCAGATAAGAAAGCAAAAAAGGCAGACAAAACCTTACAGAAAAAACCTCCTGGATGTCACATACGGTAGCTGTCTTAAGTTTGATCAGCACATTGAGAGTATGGCTTCAAAACTCAATCAAGCATGCTATGCACTAGGAGTACTCACTTGCCACCTGCCCTTGCAAGCCGTGCAGGCTGCCTACTATGGGCTTGACTTATCAAATAACAATTTGGGGTAATAGCCCCGCAGCCAATAGATTTTTTATCATGCAAAAGAGGATAATAAGAACAATGTTCAGAGTCATTACCGGGAATTTATATCTATAACACTCTTCTATTTATCTTTAACCGTAAAGCAAAGTTTGGAAGAAACGTCTTCAACCACAGTTACAATACTCGCATAAGTCAGAAATACTTCTACCCATCATATAAGCTAAATTCTCCTGAAAGATGTCCACATTACTCTGCACTGAAACTTCACAATGCTTTATCTCAACATCTTCAATCCATTTCAGAATGCACTATATTCAAAGAAGCATTCATAAATATATATGCGATATGGAACCATAGAGTATTGAAGAATTCTGTGCTCTAGTGAAACCGTAAGCATTAATATCGCTGTTGTTATATGTTGTCTACGTATGTTTGTCTTTGTATGTACTTTAAAAAAAATTGTGTGTTATTTACACTGTATCGCAATACGTGTTATCTCCGTTATAAATTTCTTTGTTTTTTGTTTATAACTGAGAAACCAATAAATTTCTATGCTATTCTACTCTATTATATTCTATAGAAGTATGTATGTGAGAATAGATGACTAATACCTTCGGTATAAAAATCTAGCGCATCGCTACCCACTAGGAAGAAATGCTTCAAGCATTACCGTAGTGGGATGCGTATCGAACGACTGCGGGCTTTAGTGAGTCACACAATTCAGGTCCAGCAAGGTAACTTTTACACGAAGGTACCGCAATATATACTTTCTGATAATATATACGTTAAACTCTGCGTGGAGCATACTTGTCTGCTTTATTCTGGCTAGTAAACTAATAAAACCATATTAAATTAGTAGGGTAAACAATGAATGTAATTATTTTGAAGTTACAACAAAGCTATAGGGTAAAAAACAAGGCATTTCAGTTAGGAAACGTTTCTTTCTCATAGCCTTTCTCTTCTGCCGGTACATTATGCATCACTATCTTCCGCTTCGATTTGATGTCATGACTCACATCCCTGCCTTCCATTTGGGCAAACACCTCGTACGAAGTTTTATTTTTGGTTTCTGGATACCAAAATACAGAAAGTAATGCTCCTAAACTAGCCCATAAACCACATATATAGAATACTGTATCGTTGCCGAATCTAGCTTGTACCACTTTATAAAATGTAGTACAAAAGAAAGCATTGAAGTAGTTGAAAGCTACGAAACCACTGTTTAGTCTAGCTCTTATATCAGCTGGTAATATCTCTACTGGGTAAGAGTAAGAGATAGAAGCGACGCCTACAGAATATCCGCCTAAATACAAGGCCAAAGCCACTACTGGTGCCCACGATATCGTAGCCAATTGCTCTTTAGTAATTACTTCCCGTTCTTTCAGGGTATAATATACTCCAAGAGCGGCTGCTGACAGTGCCATGGTGGAGAACGACACAAATAAAAGAAACTTTCGTCCCACTTTGTCACACACCAGTACGGGAATTAGTGCGAAAAGTAACTGTGCAACACCTGTGATGCAGGCACCCCAGTACTTGTCGATCCATTCTACACCAGAAACGATTTCCTTGGTGTAAAAATGGGATCTGGTGACCCCAGAAAGTTGCTTCAAAGCCACTAGGCTGAGACCCATGTAACATGCTTTGCGGACTGCCTTCTCCTTGAACATATCCCAAAAGTGATTTCTGTAGTACCCTCTGGATAGTTCCAGCTGGATCGTTCGGATTTCAGGCCATAAGTCGTACCTTGAGCCTCTTAGCTTACGCAGCACTTCCTGGCTTTCCTGAATCTTTCCCATCTGTAAAATCAAAGTAATGGTGTCAGTGGTCAGTCAAGACCAATGAAACTAGCAAATCAGATACTTAAAAATCATCGAAAAAGTGGTTGAATTGGTTTAATCTGCGCTTCTCACGTAACTCTGCCATCAGTCACTAGACAGCAAATGATTTTATGCGTTCAAATGTATGTAACTGTGACTTTATTCGATCAGCGGCCATATTTATGAAATCAAGGGTATAAGCCGTATGTCCAAATTATTCTGTTGTCGTAACGACATTGAAAATCGGTTATACACACAATAGACCGAAAACATTATATAGAAGAATATAGGTGTTTTGTCTTAATCGTCAAAACGGAATCGACAACGGTTGATTTCTAAGACCCCCTTGTAAATGCTCATTTGATGACTGTTGTTAACAGTACAAGTGACCTTACTAGACTATGTTGGAAAAATATAAAGTTTGTATGTCAACAGCTTTGGTATTATGTACTTTTTGATTTTTGGGCCGCACAGTGGCGGCCGCCGTACAGTGATTCAAAGGGCACCATTTCCGCGAGAAAAGTATCAAGATTTCTAATATTGTCACTGATGAACCGATTTTTATGAGACATACCTCATTAGAAAGCTAAAGAAATTCTCTTTAAAAAAATGAAGGCCTTTACAAAATTTTAACACATATTCCTGAGTTCAAAATATGCCAATTTGAAGTAACTTACCTTTGTCCAAAATTGCTCGGATTTTTCTCATTGTAGTTTTTTTGCTAGGAAAAAGCCAATTTCCTCAATATTTTTAAGCAAAAAAGATAGCCATGCTAAAATAGGGTATGGAGAGCAGTTTTCGAGAAATTCGCAAATTTTTGCATCAATGCAGGTTGAGGGTACCCTAAATCAAAATGCTCAGAGCTTTACAAAAACTGAGTATGTCAAAATGAGCAGTTTTTTCCTATAATAAAGATGTGGATCCAATTTAGTAAAAATGGCTGTAGTCCCAAAGAACTTATGACAAAGAAACGATACTTTTGTTAAAATTTAAGACCCCGTATCTCGAGAACTAATCATTTTTCAGTGCTGCATCTTAATAGAAAAGAAAAATAGTCTTTGTGTAGCATCTAGAGGTTTTGTTCAAATACCTTTCGTTAAATAAGTCTATATTTTTCATCTAAAAATTCGTCTACAAAAGTCGCAGCTATTTGCAACTAGTTTCTTCTCTACGTGTTGAGGTATCTCAAACGCACCTTTTAAACTTGTTCTTAAAACACGGAAACACCTGCACTTTTTTTATCGGATCCCATCAGTGTCAAACTTCGGAAAAAATTGCATGAATTTACTAAAAACTATGCCACGACACCGCTTAAGCGACTGCCATCATTCCTTTCAAACACAGTTGTTTTTCCAAACGTCAACTATATTGAACTTAATAGATCTGTGATTACAGTTCCGTCATAGGGTACGCCTAAATTTTAACAAAATTTATAATGAAAATAGGTAAAAAATGTTTTGTTTTGAAGGTAAATAAATGCCTTCTGAACTACTGAGCGCCATGTACATCTCTCTCGCACTCAAACAGAATATACAGTGAACGCGAGCATGATTAACAGAAAACAAACGTTTACAATAACAATATCTCCTAAAATCCTTAAAGATTTTGTTAACGGATGTTTGAGGGGTGCTTAGGTACTCTAACAATACTTCATTCTTTCATTTTGTTTTTTGCGTCGAAAATAGCGTATTTTGGAATTTTTCACTTATTAAGTTGTTTCTATCTCAAAAACTATCAACTTCAGGGAATTGTTAATAAGGCCCTTTTTCGTTCAAAAACTTCACCCGGAGCAAGACACACAATTTTTGGAATTCCTTCAAAAAGTTAGTTCAAATAATAATTGACGCAATGTTGAGGCTGGCAATATCCAGATTCGTTGAAAAGGGAAATAAGTAGATGTAAAAGCACGAATCATCATATCTTTCCAAGCAGAGTCAATATACTTTCCGAACTATCTTGCAAGTGGATCAGGGAAGAACCTCGGCATCAGCCGTCGCAGATTTACCTGGATGTTGTGAACTGGCGACTTCGGTTGGAAGAAGAACATCGAATTGAACATGAACGGGATTGCTGCACAGGCAAAGATGAACAGCTTTATCGGGAGTACGTATCCAAAAAAGTTAGCGTAGAGCATTCCGAAACCGTAAAATACAAAAAATGAAGTGGTGGTTCGTCCCCTGACTGCGACAGGTGATATTTCAGCTACATATAGTGGACAAGTGACGTTAAACATTCCAGACCCGACGCCACAGAAGAATCTTCCGATGTACAGGAACGTTATGTGCTGTCCGTATACCATCGAGGCCCAGCCTATGTAGAACGGTATAGTCGCTACCATCAATGTCGGTTTTCGGCCGATGTAGTCGTTTAGGAGTCCTGCAATATAACTTGAGTCAAGCTATTAAAATTTCAAAGCAGACATTGTTTAAGCCAAGCCTTCTGAAATGGTCATTTCTAAAATGTTCATTTCTTTCATCAGGACATACTACAAATATCGAATGATAAGTCGATTGTGCGTGAAGATTGTTATAGGTGTTCAACTTTATTTGAAAAAGGAAAGACGAAACTTAGCTGATGAGACCAGTCCAACCTTAACAAAAATCCACAAATATCATTATATATTATTTACATAGTAGGGATATCTTTTAAGTTTTGCATATGGAAATAAAACAACACGGTAGGTAGTTTTAAAAGACTTTATTGTTTTTCGAAGTATTCTCCACGAAGATTAATACACATCTGCATGCGATTGAACCAATTTTCGAAGCACTTATTCCACTCGTTTGCTGGCAGATCCAAAATGGCATTGCTTCTTCTGGTGACTGGAACCTTTGACGACGCAGTCAGTTTTTTATTTTCGGGACAGTAAAGAAAGCGTTAGGATTTAGACCGGGACTTTATGGAGAATGGTCCAATAATTCCACGTTTTCTTCCGTTAAATACTGCCTTGTTTTTTGGGCTGTGTGCGAGCTTGCATTGTCTTGGTGGAGGATGATTCTTCTTTCGGGGTTGGTTTTTCGAAGCCCGGTGATGATTTTTGGCAACCAAATGGTGGTATACCAATCCGCAGTAACAGTTCTTTGCTCATTAAGAGGAATTGTTGCAATATGACCCACTTTTGACACAAATATCGCGACCATCTTGTTCGAAACACTTCGAGAACGAATGACCTTTGTTGGCTTTTCTTTACCTTGTAACACCCAAACAGCCGACTGTCGTTTATTTTCTGGTTCGTAACAGTAATTCCACGATTCATCACGGCTAAAAATGTTGTACACATTTTTTGAATTTCCGGAATTGAAACAGTCAAGCGTTTTTTGACACCAATTAACCCTGGCTGCTTTCTGTTCGTCAGTCAACAGGTGGGGTATCCATCGAGAAACTAATTTTCTTACTCCTAATTCTTCATATAAAATTTTTTGAATTGAGGTCTTTGAGATTTTTTGGTGCACCCACCCTGGAATCGTCGCTAAGACTCACCCGTCCACGTTTGAATTCTCCATAGCAACGGGAAATTGTCGACTGATGTGGCGCTTCGTTGCCGAAGACAGACACTAACTCAGCAAGGCATTCTTGTTGCGATAATTGTCTCTGAAAGTTGAAATAAATGATGGCGCGAAAGTGTTCTCGTTTGAGTTCCATTTTTCTAGTGACTTGGTGACATTTAAAACTTTGAATTTAAGTTTACTAAAGAGTGAGGCTAAGATTCAGTACTGACGTTCGATCCGCGCGGCCTACTATGTTTCTATATGCAAAACTTAAAAGACGTCCCTCGTATTATAAAAAAACATGTTAATAGAGAAGTGATGTTACGTTGTAAGTAGCTCTTTCATTGATATTGTAATTTTAATCGACATTTAGTACTCTTTTCGAAAGCTGGACTTAAACAAAGAATCACGTTCTTCCTACCCTCCTCATCTGCCTGCTAATAAAATTGTATACACAGGCTTACGCGAATGTCACATGCTCATTGTCCACTATTATCTATACTATCAGTATTTTACTGATGCATCCGTAAGTGTGGGTGGATTTCTACATTCATCAATAAATACGGACGTCTAGGCTGCACGTACAAAAATTTCACACTTATTGATAAATTTTGATGTTGGTCCTTGAACTGGGATAAAACTAATGGTAACTGAACTGATTCGCTTACTTAACAATACAACTACACCACAAGGATCTATCGAAATATGACATCACAAAGTGCCATCTACTACTAGAATTATTTCGATAGATCTTATATACTGGATAGATGCTAGTTGCTCAGCTTTCGTTCGTTGTCCTACCTGAAAATCATGCTGATGAGTTGCCATAAAGCCCAAAACAGCTTTCCATGGTTTCAAGAAATATTTCCGGATTTTGATTCCAAATAGAACCAACAGTTTTCGGAAAATATGATGTTCTATAGAACAATTTAGGCAGCATTATAATAAAATCTTTTTAAGTCTTTTTTTCTAATCTGTTTACTCTGATCCGTCAGTATTTATCATGGAATGTAATAATTATTGACTGAACATCAGTTATTATTGTTGTATAAGGCTACTTAGAAATCCAATTACACTGAAGGAATTATTAGTAAATACTAATGGTACGGTCCTTGGTTAGTACCATGAGACTTTAACTCTAGAACATATGCTCACTTCGTTACTGAATTTCTTAAGTCTTTGCGCATGACGTCACGCGGTGATAAATCTTCCACTTGGCGGTACCAAATGCCTCGTATCACAGATCTTTTCAGCATTTGGATTGGGTTGGAGCACCTGGCGCCACATTGATAAACGCGTGTGATCGAAAATCTCGGAAACTATCAATCTTATGCAAACAGTAATAGGAACGATCATGTGTGGTATTAAATTCTTCATCTTTTTACCTCTATGAGAGCTTGTTATATAGTTAACAGGTTACAAAGGAATTTAAGGGTAAAATTACATGTAACGATATTTTCGCTTATAGTGGCTAAACTGACAACATCAGGCGTATAAAGGCTACTACTCTTTTTTGAAGAGAATAAAAATGTCGCTCACGTTTCTTCGACACGTTGAAGGTTCTTCAAGTATAATGTGTGAAAGTTAAGAATTCGTATCACCACGTGTCAGGATAAAACATACCTTCACGTGAGGATAACTCCATAAGTCGTTCCTGTGTTGAAGATTACTATGTTAAGGTGAACTCACTTTTTTAATGTCACGCGTAAGAGTGGAAAATGAAATATCTTCGTAAAAATTGTGATTTTATCATGATTTCCATCAGTCTGCCTCTTGTCCATTTCGCCACTGTGAAGCCTCAGCAACAGTTATTTCAACGATTTTAATGGAAAACACGCATATCTACTATATCTGCTTCCATAAAAATTGCTGCAACAGTTACCATAATTACCCATCGAGAAAATCTCTAACAGACAGTCTGACGAGAGTGAGTGACTTGATTTTCATAATGATGTCACAACTTACCAAAAAGTATTACTTGTTCTGAACCTGTACGCGTTAGTAAAAAAGGGAACCACTTTAAAGGCACATTCTTGGTCATAGATAATGATTATAAAAGAAATAACCTTCCTTTGCTATACTTCAAGAACCATGAAGGGCATCTGAGGGAATCAAGATCGGGGAAAAACATACCTGAGAACGCCTTTCTCAGTTAGATTTACCATAGGCAGTTAAAATACCGGATTAATGAAGTTTCTTTAAGCTCCTCATAGCAGCCGGTATAAAATAAGGGGTCGAAATAACTTAAAAGATGTTTTTTTAATCAAATTATATTCTCTACAAAAATAGCAGTTTTATACTCTTGGATTCTAAGTTCACACATTATCAGGGAAATATCACTACTTGTACCTCTACCCTTTAATTTCACGTAACCTGTTGACTATACGACATTTATTGAGACGGAAGATGATATATGTTCTAATTCCTACAAAATTGGTTGTATTACTCTTATACATCGACGGTTTTCGGGTTGTCCGATCAAACGCCTCTATCAAAATGTGGTAAACGTGGCAGCTATATCATGCTGTCAATTTTCACATATGAATAAGAAGTAGTAATCTAACAGCACCAAAAAAAAAAAAAATCCATTGACGCAAAAATTGAAGCCTTCCCTCCAATAACGGTTTATGTTACATTTTTTGCATGTTGAGATTTTCATGCAAAAACGGTCTATGTAAACATACGCATCGTTTAAAGTAATAAAACAAAAATACATATGCTGCTATCTATAAAATGTATGCAATACTACTTTCTTTAGCGTGGAATAACGTGTTGTTTTACTAATCATAATAATGTCGACTGTACATATCACGTCGTCGTTCTGCAAAACGTTAAATAAAAGCAGAAAAAGAAAAATAAATGTGAATGAGTGGAAATGTAATAAAAACAAGAAATTAAGGAATAGTGGAAGTGAATATATAGACCGGCAAGGACGAATTAAACCCACGAAAGCTACATCTCGAGAGGTAAGTAGAAAAAGGGTATATGTTATTTATAATCTAACCTATAAAGTAAGTGTGAGTTCTACAGCTTTTATTTGGTATCATCTGGTTAACAAATCACATAGAATTTTAATTTCTATTGTTATTGTTAAACTTTTTAAATCGTTCTTTCTTTTCAGGCTAGAATCTGCAAGCCTGAGACATGCAAAAAGGGTGGCTGTACCAGTATAACTATTGACGATAAGGAAATGCTATTTAATTCTTTCTATGGTATGGATTATAATGACCAAAGTTCCTATTTAGTAAAGTGTATTGCTATGGGTGCCCCGAAGAGACTTCGAGCTGGAAAAACCGATGCAACTTCTAAGAAGTTAGCTGCGTTTACATACTCAGTAATGCTAAAACGGAGTGGCAAGTATGTATCAATGCTTATGTGTAAAAGGAACTTTTGTGATATTTTTCAAATAAATACCAAGAGCATTCAAATACTACAGTCTAAAATGAAAGATGGTGTTACCATTCCCACTGATCTGCGAGGTAAACATGACAATCGACCAAATCGTATAAAGCAAGATATTAAAGATGCTATCCGCATGCATATAAATAGCTTTCCCAAACATGAATCTCACTATTCGAGGCAGAAATCAAGCTCACTGTATTTACATCCGGAGCTAACATTGAAAAAAATGTTTTCACTTTTTGAAGAACATTTTCCAAACCTCCATGTTAAATTTCGCACTTACCGTGATGTTTTTTTCCGAATATAACTTCAAATTTGGCGTTCCGAGGAGTGACACATGTAGATATTGCGACAAGTTATATATGCAGTTACAATGTTCAGAAACTGAAGAATCTCGGATTAAAATACAACAGGATAGTGAGCTGCACCATAGGAAGGCAGAAGCTGGGTATCGTTTCCTAAAGGAAGACATCGAATCAAGTAAAGTGTCCACCACTAAGCACGTTTTATGCATTGATATGCAGCAGGTTTCATTCTGCCCTACCCTGACACACTCTTCAGTATTTTATCAGCGGCAGTATTCCTGCTATAACTTCTGTATTCACAATGGCGGATTAAATAATGCCAGAATGAATTTATAGCACGAATCTATCGCTGGACGAGGTTCTGCTGAAATAGTATCGGCATTATTAGCTTATATAGAAGATCACTTTGATATTTTGAAACCGGGAGAAGAACGCCATCTGATAATATGGTCTGATAGATGTGTCGGCCAGAATAACAACTGGAAAGTGGTAAACTTGTGTCATTATTTAGTACAGTGCCATTATTTTACCATTGTTGAACAGAAATTTCTTTGCTCAGGACACAGTTTTTTACCGTGTGACAGAAATTTCGCACTTATTGAACAAAGAAAGAAGGTATGTAAAGTCTATGTTCCTGATATGTGGAAAGAAGTTATAGAAAGTGCCAGTCATAAAAATGCTTTTGAAGTCAAACTGCTCCAGCAAAATGATTTTAAAGATTTCGCGCCAATCGAAAAAAATGTTAAGAAAAATCCTAATTTAAAGATTACTCAATATATGTGGTTTAGATATAGTGCAGATGATCCTTCTAATGTAAACGTGCGTCCAAGCCATAATACGTTTGCTCCTTGGACTTCATTCAACATATTTACAAAAAAAAAGATGCAACCTCCTGGACGCTCAAATCTTCCTCTACTTTATAATGAACCACTGAAAATAACCTTTGAGAAAAAGCAAAATTTGATGGACATGTCCGACTATATTCCTTTGAAGTACATTAACTTTTACGAGAGTCTTACTTGTAAAGGAAAGAAGAATTGAGCCTATATTTTTATGTATATTACGTTAAAAACTTAACTGTATTAACATTAAATGGGTACTCGGTAATAAGGGTTTATGTTACATTTTACATAAACCCTTATTCCAGGGAGAATATATTATATAAAATATGTAGTATTAGTTATCTTTAGCTACACTCTTTAATGGCTAATGTCTTAGAATTATTATATTAGTTTGTTATCACCATTTCTGTTATGTTTATTATTAAAAACCCCATAGCAAATCGTTTTTGTTAATTTTCTCAATATAGCCGAATGTAACATAGACCCTTATTCGAGGGAAGGGTTCAATTGTAGAAATTCCTCTTATACACAAAAATTCCGTATTTCTTGCCCTAATCGCGTAAACTCTAGAAGTGACTTAAACCTCTTGATAGCTAAACGATCTTACTAACAAACGTTTCAAAAGGTACCTGTTGGTATGCAGGATACCATGCCTCCTAGACTCTGAAACTGGCTGATCCACTTCATCTGATCCTTATCGATGATGATGTCGTTCAAGTCCCCGGTGCGCCAGTCGCTGGTCAAGTTGGAGGTCCAGGACAGCGCCGTTCCAGAAGCGGTCGCTCCTACGCATACAGCCATAGAGGCAGCATAAACTGGACCTACGGTACCGGTATCACGAAGTTGCCGTTTGAATGTGTGGGTGTGCTGATAAGATTCGTGGTGACGGTGGTGGTGGTGATGATGATGATGTTCCTGTCGATGTTCAGGTTCACGTTGATGTTCCATTATGGGAGAGCTAAATATTCGAACAGGTATCTATTTGGTTGTCAATCTTCTGTCAAGTACGGCAGAATGTGTCAGTCTACAAGCATTTTATTGTGGCGCTTCTAATTCGAAAGCGACCAATTTATATCCAAATTTATTCTGTTCATAAAAATGACGTCATTGTTAAAACCTGATTCTAAATTTCTAGCACCAGCCCGGGAGGCTGGTTCTATTTCTGGTCTTCCATATTTCAAGGATTTAAAGTGAATTGTGAATATAGAGTAATAATATGTTGTATCACTGTGTTACTTTCATGTTCTAGAAGCCGCAAAGCGACACTCAAAGCTTAAAAAGTTCAAAACTTGCAGGTCAAACAATTTACTGTAATATAATTGTCACTCAGTCCAAACCAGTTTAGTTGACAACCGGCACATTTCTACTACTCGTCATTCCTTCTCAACGAGGTCCCGAGGACCTTCGCCTTTAGTCACTGCAATGTCAGTGTCTGTCGTTAGTCTGCCAGGTCTGGTGGCCCAGAAACCAGGCAAGTGTTTATGGAGGAAATATCCATAGTAATTCCCTCTACAATGTACAGGGTGCGGCAGAGAGGACGGACGTTTTTGGGATGGGACTCGTGAGATCCTAGCATTATTTTACCAGTTGTCGTTGTGGAGCCTTGGACAGTGAAGCACCGCGTGTTCGTCTACGATTGTTTCGTCCGAAATAATGAGTCAGTCATCGTCGTACAGCGTGAGTTTCATCGCCACTTCAGCATTCATCGGAATAGAGCAGTTACCTCTCGAAACATCATCCTTCGTTGGGTTGAATCACTTCGCAGGCGTGGTGAACTGATCAACAGAAGACCAAGAGGAACGCCGCGAACAGTTCGAACTCCTGAAAATGTTGAACGGGTTCGACAGGTCTCCTTCGCAGTCCGACTCGATCTGCCCGGAAACATGCTGCTGCACTTCGCCTTAGTGATCGTTTGGTAAGGCGAATTTTGGATATGGATCTCCGCTTTCACCCCTACAAATTGGCCATTGTGCAACAGTTACAGCACGGAGATTATGCACAACGAATGAACTTCGCACGTGAGATGGAATCACTGATTTACGACGGGGACGTGTTCCAATCCGACGGGTGTGGTTCCAGCAGGACGGGGCGACCGCCCACACAGCCCGAGCATCCATGGACGTTATTCTCCCTCTCTTCCCTGGTCGCCTTATTTCTAGGTTTGGCGATGTTCATTGGCCTCCTCGGTCCGCAGATTTATCCATATGCGATTTTTTTTATGAGGACACCTCAAGGCGAAATTCGCGTGGAAGTCGCCCAAGTTGAGAGAGCGATGTTGGAGAGAGTCTACGCGGACTTCGAAGAACGCCTCCAGCACTGCATCAACGATTTCGGCCACCAATATGCCAGACAAGAAATCTACAGGGCCTGATGAAATTCCAATCTATTTAGTAAAACAGAACATGGATATCTTTGCCCCAGTATTAGCAGACATCATTAATGAATCGGTTGCTGCTGGTAAATTTCCAACATCTCTTAAACTGGCATCGTTAATTATGATATTTAAAAAGGTGAAAATTGTGATGTTGAAAACTATAGGCCTATCGCGCTATTAAGTATTTTCTCGAAAATCATTGAAAAAGTGGTTGCAATGAAAATTGAAAATTACTTTCTTAAATTTGCTATTATCACATATGCTCAACATGGTTTCAGGGCAGGCTACTCAACTGAAACAAGCATTATCGAGTACGTTCAGTATGTTTTTGATAAACTTGATTTAGGTAATTACGTAGTGAGTATCCAATTTGACTTGTCTCAGGCTTTTTATTGTGTAAGTTCGTCATTTGTGGCCGATAAACTTCATCATGTTGGCATTCGCGGATGTTTGAATCAATGGCTAGTTAGCTTTTTAGAGAATAGAAAATTTTATGTTACTGTCGCTGATAAAAAATCTGATGAATTCAATTTAGATTGGGGCACCCCTCAAGGCAGCGCCTTGGACCACTTATTTTCTCGATTTTCATAAATGATTTGCCTGCACACTTATCCTACGGAAAATTACTTTTGTATGCAGACGACACAAATATCATCTTAGCTGACTCATCGCAAGATCGTCTTCAAGAAAAAATTAATGATTCGGTTAATGAGTTCAGTCAGTGGTCCTTCAAAAACAGACTAATAATAAATACAAAAAAGACCATTTCACTTGAAAATTTTATGAAACCAAAAATTCCGTCAAATTTTAATTTCAGTCTTCAATGCACGACAGTTGTAACTTCCAAAAAAACTGTTTTTTTAGGTGTAAGCTTTGATTGCAATTTAAGATGGACAGAGCAAATTGATTCCGTATGTAAGAAACTTGGAAAAAGTCTGTATCTAATACTTACGCTAAGGAGGATGTTAAACACCTCAGCATTAATGGATGTCTACTATGCATGTGTACACTCTGTTATTTCATATGGCATTACTGCGTGGGGCTAGGCTAGTGAAATCTCTAGAGTGTTTGTCTTACAAAAAAGAATCATTCGCATTATATTTAAAATACAGTCCAGATCTTCCTGTCGTGAGATATTTGTTAAACACAAAATACTTACAGTAGCATGTATATATCTTTATAATCTTTTAACATATATTTTTCAGCACAGAAATGATTATCTTAAGCATACTGACATCCATGCCTACAGCACTCGTAATAAAAATAATATAGTTAGGCATGTGTCATATCATACATTTCATTCCAAATCTCGAGATCAAAAACGTAAGCTCCGTAGGGCTTTTCAAAAGACGTTTGCGGAACAAGCTATCGGACTGCGGTTTTTATGACCTGGGTGAATTTGTCACATTCCACAGTGCTTCTGATAGATCTTAACAAATAATTTATTGCCATGTGTGTATCATATGGTGTTTTATGTTCTTATTGTTATTTGTATTTTACTTCCTTTTATCTATATTTTAATCTGTATACACCGACTTATCCAACGTCTACAATGTAGATCTAACTGGATCAATAAATGAATCTGAATCTGATTCTGATGTGATTTTCCACACTTGAATGTCTCAAATGCTATTTCCTTGTGAACCTGATTCCATCAATAAATTTGTTTTCGAGTAAAAATTAACTATTTTATGATTTTTTTAAAACCGTCCATCCTCTCTGCCGCACCCTGTATTATGAGTCGAACTTTGGGTCCGTGATTAGTGCGCTGTGAACTAGTACAAATGCGCTCTTTTCCATATAAAAAGTTAAATAATATATATTTTTTTATAATCAGTCAGTATCTTACAAAGTTGCCTAGTCACTTTCGACCCTACGTTAATGATTTCTTCCACCGTCAACCAATATTTGATTTGAACGATGTGGCGATTTGATACGAGACTCAAAAGCAACGCTTCGCAATCATTTAGCCCAACCTTTTCGTCAGTTAGCGCCTATTATATCATTGCATATGTCCGTGATAATGGCCTCTAATTTGGAGATCGAAACATCTGATACACAAACTTCACTGGAGGGGAAAACAACACCGGAAACAGATTATCCTTTGATCGTTCTGAACATAGCAATTACCTCATGATTTTATCGATAGCAATGCCGCTTTGCACCAGGACTGTGACTTTATTATTAAGTGAACTATAATCTTATGCCTTGCCGTTGGTTATGTAATTTGACGATGAAGATACAAGTGAACTTCAACTTTTGCGAATGGATAGAAGCGGGTTTTGACTTTTTGCAAGAGTAACTGGTCAAATTATTCTAGAATTAGCTAGAAAAGGTTACGTGCATGGTCACCAAGAAACTCTTATTCCCATAGTCTACTAACTTTGCGCAGAATGGTAAAGAGTTTCACAATATGCCTGTGGGAAAACAGCATTTTCAGTTTCAACACAAGTGTAAGGAAACTATCTCTAGAGATTCCGATGTCTTTTGGCGGAACTGTGGTTGCAAAGTAGATGTGTTAAATAGGAAGGCAAGAAAACATTGATCATTGCAATACTAAGCAACTAAAATAAAAGCAATTCACTGAGTTAGGTATAAAATGTAGTATTATTCAAAACCATTAATTCGGTAAAAATATTAATATCTTGATTTCAAAAAGCATATTTTCGCTTTCACACTTTTTCTTCAGTATTTAAACACAGCCAGAGCTGTACGTATAGTCGAAATCACGAAAGATGACGATTACGTCATACCATAAATTGTAGCGAAATAATTACCGGACGTTCGTCGATGATAAAGGTTACGATGTCAGGAACATGTGATCGAAGTTAGCTGATTTCAGTGATTATTTTGATTTATTCTATTTCATGATTTTAAATTATCATTATCCGTGCACAAATTTACATTTTAAGACTTCTATTTGCAATAAAATTACATATTTATTAAAAAAAACAGCATTTCCTGTGTTCACAATAATAATACGTATTTTGAACCTATTTTTCATCTAATATTGTTGAATCCCTAGAGTTCTTACGAAAATCATAATAATACATTGGTATCAGCTCCATTAAAACGACCAATTGATTCTGAGAACATGGTTTTATTTTATAAAAAAAAATACAAACACAAATAAGCATACCAAAGTGAAAATATTTTTGTACTATTTCATGTCATGCCATCCACTATTCATTTTAGCATAAGCTACAAAATTATATAAAACGTATATCAAATAAAATAAACTGTACATTTCAATATGTTATTCCATTACCTATGGTCAAATTCAGATTAAAAATTAATCGCTACTGTCAGATTCAGTATCGCTATCTGAATCAAATGAGATTATCAGTGGTTCTATTTCACGAGTTTTGTTGTACCACTCTAAAATTACATCATGGGTATGCTTCACACATTTTTTCCAAACCTCTGGTGTAGTTTGTGACAGAGCTTCATTCCACATAGCTAAAACATTTTCATCACTATGACCACATCTTCCAATATGTCTATCATAATACTGCTTAGCATTGGCCCATATTAACTCGATGGCATTAAATTCACACTGGTATGGGGGGGTACGAAGAACTTCATGTCCATAACTTCTTATGATTTCATCTATTAAATACTTCTTTTCCTTACGATTTCTTTTCACTATATTCAATAACTCCACTTTAGTTAATGTTGGTTGGAACACAATTTCATTTTTAACCAGCCAGTCAATAATCTCTTTGGAGAACTTGTGTTTGGAGTCTTTTCCAATAAAATGCTATGATAGGATGCATTATCCATAATTATCACTGATGGCTCTTCCAAGTTGCAGAGGAGTTTTTCTTTTAACCACTTAATGAATGTCTCGCCGT